AGAGTTGTCTACATTTACCCTCTCCAGTTCCACTCCTCCTATTACCTTTTTTGCTTTTTTCCTTAAGTAGCATGCACTGGGAAGCGGGGAGTCATTCCCTAATAATGGACTCCTCTCAGGGTGTTTTTCTTTTTCTTTTTTTTAGGATTGTATTTATTTATTTGTCAGAGAGAGAGAGCACATGAGCACAAGCAGGGAGAGCTGCAGGCAGAGGCAGAGGGAGAAGCAGGCTCCCCACTGAGCAGGGAGCCTGATGTGGGGCTCCATCCCCAGACCCTGGGATCCTGACCTGAGCCAAAGGCAGACGCTTAACCGACTGAGCCACCCAGGCGCCCCGCACGCAGGGTGTTTTTCTCGCACGTGAGCGCTACAGTAAGGATATACGTCCCTTGTGATTCTCCAGGGCGCACAGACCCTAAGAGTGGGACTGCTGAGATAGAGCTCACTCTTCAATCCACTGAAAATGGTCTTATCAGTGACCTCCTACATTCCTAAATTCGGCAGTCAATTCTCAGCCCTCTCCTGATTTGACGTATCAGCATCATTTGACATAAAACGTGATTTTTAGTTGGCAAAATTGGATACAATCAGTATTCTTCCTACCTGCCTAGTTATTGCTTCCCAGCCTCTTTTTCTGGTTCTTCCTCTTCTTATCTGCACTCCTTCTCTTAATGACCTCATGGAGTCTCAGGGCTCCGAATGCCAGGATACGTCACTGATTATCAAATCTCACCAGCCTGCCCAGACCTTGGTCCCAAACTCTGGACTCATAGAGCCCACTTCTTAAATGTCTCTACCTAGATGTGTAACAGGTATCTCAAATGCAACATTGTTAAACATGGGATTCCTGATCTTCCTCCCCAAACCTGCTCAACTCAAAGCCTTTCCCACCCCGCTGGATGGCAGCTCCATTCTTCCTGCCTTTCAGGCCAAACGCCTTTAAGTCACCAGGACTCCTCTCTCTCTCATACCTCCCCACATCCATGAAACCATGTAGCTAAATCCAGGTTCCAACAGTTTCTCAGCACTTGAAATGTTGCTACCCTGGTCTGAGCCACTATCCTCTCTCGTCTGGATTTTTTATTTTTATTTATTGATTTATTATTTTTTAAGATTTTAAGTAATCCCTACACCCAACATGGGGCTCAAACTTACAACCTCAAGATCAAGAGTTGCCTGATCTACCAAGTGAGCCAGCCAGGCACCCCGCATCTGCAGTTCTTAAGTAAGCATTAGTTGCCCAATGAGTGAACAGGCAACAATGTTTACGCTCAAGGAATTCAGTGAAAAGCAACCATTTGATAACAGACTCTTAAAAAATTTAAACCCCTCATAATAAACACATATTCCTAAAACCAAGAGCTAATACTTAAGTGGTGGAATAGTGATATTTTCATTAAAATCAGAAACCAAAGATGCTTTACTCAATCACTTAACACTCTTCTATAAGTGATGACCAACACTATAAAATATGAAACATAAATAACAGAAATGAGAAAATAAATTATTTTTACTTGCAAATGATATAATTATATACCTACAAAAATTTATGAGAATCAAATTAAGAACTCTTGGCTAGCACACAAGAATTCAGCAACATGGCCAGATTTGAGATCAACATAAAACTCCACAGCTTTCACATCTACCAGCAGAAAACAATTATAAGATACAACAGGAGGGAAAAACTGATCCATGAAATCAAGAAAAAATGGTCAAACCTGTAAAACTAAAACACATTATCAAACACTGTGCAGGCACATATGAATAAATATAATAAAAGGAGAAATGCTTATCATATGATACTAAATATAAAACCTGGGTACAGAACCATACAAGGGATGACATGTATTCATGTGTATACAAACGTACATATATTATACATTTGTGCTAACAGGGCAAAATCTGAAAGGGACAGCACCAAAATAATAATCGTTACCACTGAATTTTAAAATGTAATTTTCATTTTCTTCTTTATAACATATTTCCCAGATTTTCTAAAATTGTCACGGAAGACCTTTATACTAAAAGTTTTTACTTTCTGGGAGGTATTACTGAAGTCACAGCACCTATTTTGAAGCTTAAATAATCCATAAAAGTATTTATAATAATTAGCTGCTGAACCTGTCAGAGGAATAAATGTTTACAAAATCAGTTTTTAGGGGTGCCTGGGTGGCTCAGTCGTTAAGCGTCTGCCCTCCGGCTCAGGTCATGATCCCAGGGTCCTGGGATCGAGCCCCACATCGGGCTCCCTGCTCTGCGGGAAGCCTGCTTCTCCCGCTCCCACTCCCCCTGCTTGTGTTCCTTCTCTCGCTGCGCCTCTCTCTGTCAAATAAATAAATTCTTTAAAAAAAAAAAATCAGTTTTTAGTTGCAGACAACTATTTGTTGCTCTCTCCAAAATGAATCACTAAACTCATCAAGGTTGTATCTGAGAAAGAGGAGATCGTTACTTGTGGATGCAAAGGAAGAGATACATAGTACATACTAGTGCATTCTTTGTATTTATTAAGATATGTTGATGTGTTTTGTTGGACACAGTTAATATTAAAAAGTGGAATTGGACAGTATTAGTGGTATAGCATGACACCAGGAAAAATCTTTTATCTGTAGGACATTGCTGTTGTTTTGGGAACTGAATATCTGAATTTGGTCTTAACAGCACTGAGCATACTGAGTTAAGTCTCTCTGACTGGACCAGCGGAGCAGAAAACCAGAATAAGCATTTCAACCATTTTTCAAGCTATGATTACTGGTCCAGGTGATAGGTTTCAAGGGGCTTTCATATTTAATCTATGATTACAGTTAGGTCTCCATAATAATCAACTTAATTCTACCATTATGTAAATCATTGCCTCAAAGAGAGATACCCTGGTGGAGAAAGAAGACATACTGCAAAGCAAGAACACTCAGAAAACGGAGTACTTTGGTTAAATTAATGTCTTATAAAAAAATAATAATCCCTTTGATTCAAGCCTGAGTTCAGCACCTTGCAAGAGATTGATGACACCAGGCTAACGACCCAGGAGACACGGTGTCTCAGGCAGCCCCCAAAAACCACTCCTTTTCCAAGCTGAAGGGACTGAGGCAGGGCTGAGTGTGTAGGAGACGAGGCCACACCATGGAGACTGCCATTAAAAAGTAACATGAAGGGTGCCTGGGTGGCTCAGTCAGTTAAGCGTCTGTCTTTGGCTCAGGTCATGATCTTGGGGTCCAGGGACCAAAACTGGCCTCTGGCTCCCTGCTCAGCCGGGAGCCTGCTTCTCCCTCTGCGCCTCCCCCAACTCATGCTCTCTCCTCTCTCTCTCTCTCTCTCTCATATAAATAAATAAGATCTCTTAAAAAAGAGTAACATGAAAAATACGAATTTTGTTGTTTTGTTTTCTCCTAATAATGAAAAATATAAGAAGCTGAAAGTTCAAGTTAGTTGCAACTTTACCAAATATTTATCCTGAGGCAGAAGACATTTTGAGGCACACTAATGATAACATAAAAGTAGTTGAACAAAGGACCTTGCTCACAAAAATAACTTAGGTATAAGGGGGAACATGACCATAAATAATAGCAATGCTTCCATGAAAAGTCTTACTATTTTATTGTAATATTCCTATTAAAAACATGAAACATTATCTTCAACATGTTGAATAGACCTTACTCCTTACATTAAGTCTTGTGAAACAAGTGGCAGGACAGGGAGAAAACCAAATGGCCCTACTATCTAACTAGCTGTTCTACTTTTTGGATGATTTTAATTCAATCTTACAGCTCATCTTTTAAGATTGATGTGCCTAATCAGGAGTTGAAGAAAATTATAGACTGTTACAAACTACTACGAGGTGTTTGGACTATCATTTTTGTAAAAATCTGGAATTTCCCATCCTTACAAGTTAAAACTCATTTCAAAATCCAATTTTAATTTTATCAATAAATGGCAGTCTGTCACAGTTCAGGGAGGGATCATTGTATTTTTTTTTCTAGAAAGACCAGGTTTTCCAGTTGGACAGTACATAATCTCAGTCCGGCAGTTCACTGATCATTCCGCAGTGTGTGAGGGCCTGCTGCCGGGGAGACCTCTGCCCAACGCCGCGTTCCACCTGCGGTCACTGCCGTTCCTTTCCCGCATCTCCATGTGGAGATGCAGAAACGCAGGCTCTACTCACCTCGTTTTTACAACAGACATCTCATCAGAAAGTCAATTCAATGCCATCCACTTAGGTTTTTGGTCTACATAAAGTCACTACCAAAGAGACAGAAGGATGGATTGTCGTACATCCTATTTTCACTAATTTATCCCATAAATACAAATTAGAATAACAGCACTTCAAGGGAGCATTATTTTCACAGATTAAAAGGAAGCTTTCACAGCCTTGCCTTTTTGGGCACAGTTTCTTAAAAGCCACCTGTCAAGGCATGAAAGCACCTCCAGGCTCCGACAAATACTGTGCCCATTACCCAAACAATCCTGGAGGACACTGCCAAGTTGTAGGGAGGTCAGTATCTCTGCACCCTTGCCTTACACACTCCTTTAAAAGCCTCCAGAATTTCCCCTCCGGTTTACCTACCATGTTCAACTAGGGAGAGAACAGAAGTATGACTACCTACAGGTCATTTAATTTACTTTGGGACAAAATTAGGACACTCTTTATCCTATATGTGGGCTGCACTCTTCTGAGGATATGAATCCTACCTTCATAGATAGTACTTTTAGGCAAATTATTCTAATAATAATAATCACCTCCTATTCTCTCTTGTGCCCTAGAAAGGGTTTTTTTTTTCCCTCTCTTTGCTCAAACTAAAATGACATGTCTCCATAAGCAATTCATTCATTTCTCCTCACTTCCCTTTCCCTCCCTTGAGAAGTTGTGTATGTGAGTCAATTAACCTGGTTCCACCTGGCTGCAGCTGGGGAAACACGGCACTTTTACTTCACAATGTCTTTTAAGTTACCCACGGACAGACAAGACTTCCCGCCTCAGTGAAGCTGAGCGCTCAACAAAAACTTACATCTTTTCCCAGCACTCTGAGTTCAAACTGTGTCTCCTTGAAGTGAACCTTTGTAATCCGTGGCCTAAAAAACAAAGCAGATGGTGGTGGTGGTGCAGTTTGTAAGAATTAATCTTTCAGCAATTCAGAGAAGTTCCCAGAGGGAAAAGGCTGGCTCATCGCAGCTCCTTTATAGACTGCTACAGTAACTGTTGAGAGCTCCCTATAAGTCATTTGCTCTGGACACCTTCCTAAACAAAATTCCGTTCTCATTCTCCTGTGCTTCTCTAGTAGATACAGACCAGCTTGGAATCCCCAGGCCCTTGGCCAGTACTGCCTTCCCAGACACAGCGTAGGGCTACAGTCCTCCCCCATTTAGCATTAGAACTCAGAGGAGTCCTGGGCCCACAGCCCATCAGTACACAGTGGAATGGGTAGGAAACCCTACTATACCCAATGTGCATGGACAAGAGAGTCCAGAATCACAGTACCTAAAATTTACAAAGAAAATACATACTAAGATGCACTGGGAGAAAACTTATACCCAGTTTCACTCATTTATTTATCAACCACTGGAAATGTACCTGTTTTCTTTTCACTAACAAAGACCCATAAGCTAAGCACATAGACCATATAATTTTCATACCAACTCTGCCCTCAAGTTATACTTACCAGAAATACTTCCCCACTTGCTTTTTATTCTTGTAGACAACAACACCAACTGGAGTTAATCCTAAGAAATACTCAGATTTGTTTTCCCCCTGCAAAAACAAACATATGCCTATAACTATGAATTTATTCATGTCAAAGCCCTTTGTCAAACTGTAATTGGCCATACAAACGTAATATGTTGCATTAATACTGGGTCTAGTTTTTCAAAAACATCAGCTTAGGAAGCTAGCTAAGGTATGATAGTATGATTAGTTGTTTTTTTTTTTTCAAATTTTTACTTTAAAGTTTTCTTAGTGTATTCATCCTTGTAACTGCAGTTCATCAAAAGAACCTGGGCTACCAGTCAGACCCCTGATCAATTCAGCCCACACTGCATCTATAGTGCTGTTCACCCCTGGCTGCACATGAACTGGAATCACCTGGGCAGCTCAATATGCTGGTGCTTGGGTGCTACCAAAACCAGTTAAATCAGAATCTGTAATGAAGGGGCCCAGGTATCAAAAAAAAAAATCACATAAATACTCCAGGTGATTCTCCTGTGCAGCCAAGGATTGAGAACCACTGGCTTCTATCAAGAGTTCCTTCCCAAGGTCTCATCTTGATCTTATTCTCAGACGTAGATAATCATGAAGCCTGGTTTACCACCACCCTTCTCCAGAAAGTTCAGACATCTGCCTTCAGGCACACACTTGGATTCTCTGATGTTTCTATCATGCTTCTTCCTACTTCCATTTGTGACTTTAAGACTACTCAAAAAAGTTAAAAATACCATATTTTCTGGTAAAGACTGAACACCCCTTAATTTCCAGGCAATGATAATCCTAATTAAGAAAATGAGATTCTGAAATGAAAAAGTCATAGAGCGGGTATGAAGGACAGGCACATGTCTGTATGAATTTTATTTCTACTCTAAGGTCAAATAACAGCCTGCAAAGTCATATTCCCAAGGAACATAAGACAACTGATATGTTTTGGAAGAGCACCAGCTGTTGCCCACTTTCAGTTCTAAAAATTCAATCTTAAAGGAATGTATGGAAGATTCTAATGAATCCAGTTCATTTGCTATAAATTCCTACCATCCACAAAACTGTGAATTAGGACAAACATTACACAAATGCAGAAGCATTTTGCAGAAGACTCTCTCTTTACACATTTCCTATAAAATACAGGCCTTAAAAAACTAAAAGCCTGACAAGATTAATGCGGCTAGAAGGGAAAAGGGTAACTATTCCACAAAGTTTTAGAGGTGTTCTCAAATGACAGTAGTATAGAGCATTTAATGATATAATGAGATTGGAAGCTAAAATATCCAGGAATTACTACTTCCCCGTACAATACGTAACTTTTACTGCCATACTAACAGTATACCCAGTGTTGTTTCTAACTCTTTACAAATAATGAGATGATTTCTTGTTTTAGGAAACTCTGATGTGCAAAAGACATATTGAGAAATGAATGCATGAATGAGTTATCTGCATTATGGTAAGTTTTATCAGGGCTCATTAAAAATTACATTCCATAATTTAATTGACATTGTCTATATATAATCTTGAGCAATTCATTTTGTGTAAAGAATAAGGCACCTGGCTCATTCTCTCAAATCATCAAATTTGACTATTGCTAACTAAACTCTTATAAAATGAAAGGCAATGACATTTCAACCTCACTGGCAAAGAATTATCAATTGAGAGAAATGGCTTCAAGATTAAGACAGGAACCAGAATATTCAACACAGATTCAGTGTAACTGTTCACCGACTATATTCAGCAAGTTCTCATCAGCTGCTAAAGAATATCTGCCAAAATATTTCTATTAATGCAGCAGCAATAACTGTAGTAGGCAGTCCCCCTAATATTTAAGAACCTGCACATCCCACACAGAACCACCAACAGCCACACCTGTACTGGTGCCCAAAGCCTACTTTTCTGGAAAGTGATTTCATGAATATTTTTCAGCCATAAAATCTATTTTTGGAAAATCCTCCTGTTTTCTGTCTAATACAATCAATTATAGACCAATTTTAAATGGTTTTGACGTTTAGCTAAGCCCTATGGAGCTGTTATCCAGATTGTGTTTTCAAGCCCAGTTAATTGTTTTCTACACATGGAAACATAATCACAGACTTTTAAGCAAAACTCATTAGGGTTGAATCCATGCAAGAGATTCTTTGTGTTTGAAAAACACAGATGAAAAAGTATCATCTGCTAGCTAAACAACAGCACTGCAGCTTTCCTCTGGGAGTTTCAGTGACTTTTTAAGAAAAATGTCATCAGCTTAAAATATCTTGTGTTAATTAAATGTTACTCACATAGACAGGATGGAGGTCAACGCCATACATCTCCAGGGATTTGGCAGTCCTCAAGTAATTCAGCTCTGCTTCAGAAGGAGCCTGACCCCTACACCCAGCATAAAAACAAAAAGCCTTACTTTACTAATAGATACTGCACTTGTAGGGAATAAGCCATCTTCACTCTATTCACTGGAAAAATAAATAATCCCTTGTGCTAATGCAAACTTAAGTCTTTGTGTTTCAAGAAGCCCCTTGCCTCCATGGTGACAAAACGTTACACTTTGAGGTAATCGTTGTATTAAGTTAATTTCATTTACCAAATCTGTGTTTTGCTCAGTATAGCCAATCCCAATGTCCCAGCATATATTTAAAATTCTGTATCAGAGGGTGCCTGGGTGGCTCAGTCGTTAAGCGTCTGCCTTCGGCTCAGGTCACGATCCCAGGGTCCTGGGATTGAGTCCCGCAAGGGGTTCTTTGCTCGGCGGGAAGCCTGCTTCTCCCTCTCCCACTCCCCCTGCTTGTGTTCCCTCTCTTGCTGTGTCTCTCTCTGTCAAATAAATAAATAAAATCTTTTAAAAAAATAAAATAAAATTCTGTATCAGAAACCCCCAAAGAGACTGAGAATATAAGCACTCGAATTAAAAAGTACATCCCCACAAAGAGTAAAAATGTCTCCGCACACCAGCAGCTCTCCATCGGGAGAAAGATGAGTAAGAGTAGTAGTGGGCGGGGAGAAGACAAGAGGTCCCCCAGCACCTCGCTGGGGCCTCAACAGCATCTCCTGAGCACATATGTAGTTTGAAAATATGTTAATATTTCTAAATAATAAAAATACTTATCATTTTCTTAATACAAAACATAGAAATCATCCCAAAATCTTCATTGGTGATAATATTCGTAAACAGTATTCACTACTAACAAGTGTGAGCATCTGCCAGGAAGCTCCATGGGTAAGTGGAACTGTGTGTGTGTAAGTAACAGAGAAAGATAGAAATCTTTTATTTGTTAATAAAAGGAGCTATGAATGTAATGACTAAAACCTACTTTGAGGCATCCCATGTTTCTACCACAGTGCCCTGGAAAACCTAGCAATATACAATAATTTTGAAATCTATGAAGGATGTTCATTACAAACTAGACACGAGAAAGCTACCAAATCTTGATCAAGCTTTATTCTCTTTGAAATAATAGTCACACTGTCAACACCATCACGTAAAACATGTAAGGCCCTTTACCCAAAGCTCCTTGATAATTTCAAAAATGTAATTGTACTTTGAAACTCCTAGAATTAGTATTCTCAGAATGTGCCAAACAAACTGCCCTTCATAATGTTGTAACAGGCACTCTCTTAGCATCCACTTCAGCAAAACCTTAAAATGAAGGACTCTATAATCAGGCTGGAGAGCATTCTGGTGCATGCTAATACAAGATGGAAAGCCTGGTTTCTCTGATTGCAATTCAGCAATTGACTTCTGCTGCTACTCACTGAAACAGATCCTTTAGGCAAACATTTTTTGTTGACCAGATTAATTCTACATTTTTTTCCTTAACTATAATAGATCTGAAACCAAGCAAATTCAAGAGGAAATGTTACATAAGAGGCAATAAAGCAAAGTTAATCAGTATAGAGGATTTAACCAAAATAACTATAATTAAATTATAACTTCAATGCTGCAGGCCATTAATTGAAAATCCTACTAGAGGAGTGTGTATATTCTCAGAAGTGCATGTGGTGTTAACATAATACCCTCCAAGGCTCCACACTGGTGTCATCGTGATTTCCACATTCACTGCTATAAACTGAATAGGACTTTGCTTATAACTGTGAAGAATTTACATACTTAAGACAGACCAAATCCAGAATACATTAAGGCTTTTGTGATTATAAAATATATTTATAGCTGGAAGAATAAATTTCACAAGTTACTGGTGACTGAAAAAATAGAAAACTGCAAAATATAATATATACAGAATGATTTCATTTATGTAAAATCATACATACAAATAAATTTTCTCTATGGGCATTTATGCATAGAGGGGGATTTGAAAGGCCATTAAGCAAAAATATGTTGACTTTAGGCATTGGGATTTACTCTCTCCTTTATATTTTTAAAATTGCTTTGGTTTTCTATGAGCATTTTAGTGTTATAAGCAGAAAAAAAAACTTAAAAGACAAAATACTAGAATGAAGGCACAGGTAAAGAATTTATCATTCTAGAAACTTTTCTTACGACTGCCATTAGCGTAAGATGAGAGTTGATGGATGATGCAACATAAGACATGATATTTTTTCCACCTTTGAGATATAATTGACATATAACGCTGTCCTGTGTAATTTTAAGGTATACAATGTGTTGATTTGATATACTTCTATACTGCAAAATGACTACCACCATAGGGTTAGCTAACACCTTCACACTGTCACATAATTACCATTTCTTTTTTGTGGTGAGATCAGGTAAGATCTACTTTCTTAACAACTCTCAAGTATATTGGTGGCCCTTGAGGGCTTTACCCTAAGTGAAATAAGACAAAGAAAGACAAACACTATGATATCACTTGAGGTGGAATCTAAAAAAGCCAACCTCATAGAAACAGAGACACAGAATGGTGGTTACCAGGGACTGGGGGGTGGAGGAAATAGGGAGATGTTGGTTAAAGAGTGTAAACTTTAATACAATAAAGTTTTGGGGATCTGATGGATAGCATCTTGATTATAGCTAATAAAAAGTGATTCTTACATTAAAGTTTTATGAATCCTTTCTACGGCTTCTTCGAGTTCCTCCTTCTGATCAGGAACAAACCGGTACTCTGACACATAGCCTGCAGTATGCTTATATGGGTCGTAATCTCCAAGCTCAGCTACAAAAGAAATTGCATTTTTTTCCATTTTAGAAAAATAGTCCTAAAACTATTTTAAAATATTCCTATCATGCTGAAACATTTTCTTCAAATGCCTTATTAATAAATTCATACATAACTAATTTTAGTAAAAAACTACTATGATGAGCATATATGAATGGTATAAGTAAAATCTTCTTAAAAACATAAGTTCTATATTTTTGCTTTCTGAAAGACTATAATTAACATCATTTGCATTTCAATTATTTTTACCAGATTATATGAAATAACATGTTGTAAAGAGAATTTAGAGTACAAATATTAGAAATGCTAAAGGCAAAAACAACCAGGATGCCAATATATCCTCTCAGAAAATAACACCAAGAGATAGAGCATATAATTCAAAATCTATTTGCCCCAAACAGTGGTCATGGAAATTTAACACAATCCTGTACGTTGGTTTACACAAAAAAGCAAAATGAAACCAGAAAGCTCATTATATTACATTTATTAAAATTTTCCTCCTTACGTTAATCCACCTTCCAAGCCCAACCCAGTTCATCTATGTGACATTTTTCCTAGGATATTTTTTCTAGACTATTCCTGGTCTGCAAATGCCACAAAGGCAAGGAACATACTGTCTCACTGCCCCTATACCTAGCAAGATTCCTAGAAAGGGCTCAGTATATATGAGTGGAAACATCCTCAGCCTCCAAAGTGACAATGCAACCTGGAGCTGCCCAACATGGTTGCCATATTGATGCCAAGAGAAGAGATGCAATGAGGGCCACACCCTGAACTGACGTTGGCATCTGACCATATAGAGTCTCCACAACGGCTGCCTGAGAGCAATGTGATCTCTGAGATATCACAGCTTGGGGGGATCAACAAACTCAGGTGGGATATAGAATGGAAGGGATTTTCAGACCCTCCACTTAATCCAGAATCAACGCCTTTCCTGTGACTAAAACTCCAAAGTGACCTATTATAAAGGATACGTAACTGGCTTCACTTTTACCTCTTCTGAAAGGACATGGATTAAAACTTGAATTCTGACTAAAATTTTGTTCAGGGAAATGTCACTTGATAAGAAGAATTTTAGTACATAAACTTGCTTAAAAAGAAAAATACAAATTTTTTCTCAGTTTGCTGCAGTGGAACCTACACTGGATGGCATATGCTCCCAGCTGAGCAGCAATGTTGACAGGGCAAGGCAGCCGGCCCTGAAGGACATCTTGCTTCACCTGCAAGAAAAACTGATATCTACAAAAGAAATGGAGAAAGAGATTAATGATATCTTACACTACCCAGGCTCTGATAATCACGGCAACAACCAATCACCATTAATGAAAATAAAGCCACTTCTGTTCCCTAGTGAAGGGGCTGTTGAGTGAACAGTTTAAACACACTCTACATAAGGGATACAGGGTCGTGGCTAAAAAGCACAGGCTCTCAAGTTAGACTGGCTGGACTGCATCCCAGCTCCGGTACTCACCTGGGCAGCTGCTGACCCCCTCCAACAGCCCGTCTCCTCACCTGCAGAACCGGGACAGCAAAATGTCTACACCTCCTAAGGTTAACGTGGAGGTTATACAAGCTATTCTCAAGACTCTCATTACTGTCGCTGCCACAACTACTATGACACAACCTTACTGGGAGGAACAAATCGTAAGGACCTAACCTATAGGATGTGTTGCCTACAGGGTCTAAAATCATGGATACGGGACAAAAAGGTCATCATAGTGCAATTCCATCAATTCTCATGCCCATTATCCATGGCTTTGCTCATTCCATTTGCCAAAAAAAAAAAACCCTGTTATAATAGCGCCATCCACAGTTCTAAACACTGTAAATATAATAACTCATTCCAAGTGTTTACATATAATAACTTCCATAAGACTTTAAAATAATGTCAGTAGTATTATCTCCATTTTGCAGAATGAAGACTCTAACAGACACAGAGATGAAGTAACTTGTCCAAGATGTCACAACTAGTTAAGTAGCAGAGCCAGAACTGGAACCCAGGCAGTCTGACCCTAGAACCTCTTAATCAGAATGCTATGCAACTTTGGCTAGCTTCCCCTCCCCCGCCCCCATTCAGTCTTTCAGCCTGTGCCAGAGGTTTATGAACCAACACAATGAACCATCAACACTGTTCTCGGCTGCCATCACCTACACACACACACACACACACACACACACACACACACACACACACGCCCACACATGCACCAGGCTGTCATTGTGGTTTCTCTTTCTTTGGAAGCCAACTCTTGATGTCACTGGGAAGGGCAGAAAAAGGGCAAAGGAAATGAATTATAAAAATCAGCTGTGATAAGCTGCTCTTCTCCAAATGCTTACCAGCAAGGCCCATAGTAAGGGAATCCAAATGTTAGATGCTACTTATTATTATTATTATTTATAATATATATAAAATTATATATAATTTATTATAATAATTATTATTATTATAAACACCCTGTGTTTCCCCACTGCCCATTTCAGTAAATAGCACCACAGTCTCCAGATATTCAAGTGAGAGAAACCTACCAATAATGTATAACCCTTGGCACCCACATCCAGTCACTGAACCTTGTCTTTTGGAATCCGCACACTGCTCTCCATCTCCTAGCCCAGGTCGCTATCCCCTGGATTTCTAAAACCTTCAGTGCTCTGCCATCATTCATACTTATCTCTCTTCCAAACAACCTTCCCAAGAGGTAAATGAAATCCTTAAGAGAAAAATAGGATCAAGTCACTCCCTTGACAAACAGACAAAACCTTAAAAAACTTCACTCTACTTTCAGATCCTTAAGAGAGCTTGTGACGTGTGCAGCTCGGTCATGGAGTGGCTTCCCCAGCCTCCTCTGCAAAAGGGCTGCGTGGCCTAGCGTCCCTTCCAGCTGCCACCACGCGCACAGGGGCCCGAGAGGGGTCGCCATCCAGGTTTCCTCCAGCCCACAAGCGACAGCACCGCAGCCTTCCCCTCCTGCGGTTCACTGGCTCGTGGCCACCCGTGACTATTACCAGCGCCGCTGGGCTTCCACTTCCAGTAACAGCTCCTGCAGAAGTGCAGGGCATCCTGGGGAATCCAGCCCTCACCACCCTGCTCTGTCCCACACCAACCGGGGTCACTGGTGGACAAGCTGCTTTTAAGGGAAGTCCACTCTCCCATTCATGGCTACATTACCGGAGTTCCCACAATGCTCAGAATCTCCCCCAAGCCTCCAGTGGCACGATCACCTGTGACTTGGCTTTGGAAGCCATGAGGAAGCAGCCTAGTGACCAGTCTGGCAAAGCCAACACCGGGCCCCAGTCCTGAGTGGCCACCACCAGCCCCCAGGCTTCAGGAGATGCTAGGAGCATCAGAGCCCCTCCCTTCCTTTCCCATAGACTAGGCAGGCTGCAGCAAGCAGAAGGAGCTGGGTTCTTTTATGGCAAAACAGCAAAAATTAAGTTGAGAGAACCCCCCACTCTTTACTCTCCAAATCACATTCAAGCCTTCCTGACACCCTATAGCTATGTGCATCAAGTATAAAATAAACTTCAAATGGCCAGGGGAAAAAAAAGAAAAGAAAAGAAAAGAAAAAGAAAAGGCTTGTAAGACTTTTGCTTCTTGAGCCAAATCTCTTGCCATTAACCAATGACTACCTCACTCCCTAACTTGCATTTACTTGTCTAGCTCTACTTAACTACTCACCATGCCCTGAATGCTCATCTTGGATATCAAATCCACTTTGTTATAATCATCTGTCCTCCTCTTGAAGAGGAAAAAAGCAGAGTAAAGCATTATTAGCAGAATGTAAATGCAAAAGCTTATAAACTGAAGAGACATTTTGCTAGAATTACTACTGCTTACTGGAAACTTACATTTATCTACACTCTCTTTCTCTATTGTTAACTTGGAATTTCTTTTCCTGAATTGCATTTTTTTTTTTAGGAAATGGGTCACAGATGCATATTTATTTTGCTCTATTAAGACTTTTATAACATCTGACTGAACAGTCAAATCGCTTGCCAAGTACAGAAACAGAGGGACCTAATCCCACAAGAGTTTGCTTCAAAGGCAAAGGCAAAAAAAAAAAAAACAGGAGATGAAAAAACAGAGAGAAAAACAAACAGATACAAAGAAACAAGGACCCTATCCCATCAGGGATTATAGTCTCAGTATATAGGTCTGGCACATAGTAACAGCTCAATAAATAGTTGATGACTTGGATGGATATACAAATGAGCAGGGAGACAGATGGCTGAAATGGAAAAAACTGAACATTCTTTGCTGCCTTTGAGAAATTCACAAAGAAAAAGAAAAAAGGAATCTGTTCAAACTTCCCTGGACAGCCTGCCTTTTAAAGATACCAGAGATCTTTAAGTCATTGCATTAAAAAAAAAATCCACTAAGATCAAGACAAGTAAACTATTTTTAATTAAAAATTTAATTAATCTTTATCACAGCAAGCATATTAGTTTTTTTATGAGAAATTTATGATACAATAAAATCACATTTTTCCATATGCTAAACAAATACTTTATCATATGTCAGGGCCTATTTTTAACTAACTGTATATAACTTATTTTGTCCATTTTATGAGACTTAGGGTAAAATTTAATATTTTATTTAAATTACAGATTTAGAGTTGTTGAGTCTTTCCCTCTGCCACTCTGATTAAGGCTATGATTGGATGCTTGAGTTCTTGTTTATCTCTGGTTTTAAGGAGGGGGAACCTACATCCCATTTTGCCTAGGACAGTTCTTGTTTATGACTATTATACACGCCTACGTATTAACAACTCTCCTCGTCATCCTCCAAAGTGTCAGGGTTTGGACGATCAATTATAGTGTGACCCTGGTTATACTGTAACCCTACTGGAGAAAAAGGAAATGCTCATTAAAGATGATCCACTTAATAAGGAAGCTTTCCAGACTCATTCTGGTACAAAACTGAGGCATCATAAAGTACTAGTTATTTTTTTTTTTTAAGAGAGAGAGAGCGCAAGCATACAAGTGGGGGGAAGTGGGAGACAGAAGGAGAGAGAGAATCTTAAGTAGACTCCACCCCCAGCATGGAGCCCAATATGGGGCTTTATCTCACAACCCTGAGATCATGACCTGAGCCAAAATCAAGCATCAGATGCTTAACCAACTGACCCACCCAGGCACCCCCGTGTGTAAGTTAATATTCTGCTGTATATGCACTGTCTCCCAAGCAGATCATGAGCCCTGGAGGAAAAGAGCTGGGTCTTCCATCCTGTCCACACTTACCACAACACTACGAGTACAACACAAGTCCAGGGTTTGAAATATTGGCTTCACAGTTTTCTGTTTATCTGATGTTCACTGAAAAGAGCTGAGTTAACACCAAGCATGTACAAGCTGTTGAGCGCCATTAACAATTTAACAAGTATCAGAGGCAAGAAGAATGGCAAAGAAGGTTTGCTTAAAGACATGGCAGAGAGACCCCACTCTTTCCGGACCCCAAACAGAAGGTTCCCTGAGATTCAGAAGCCAAAGACATGCTTACACCAATATACCTGAAATGCACCTTCCAGTGAACTGAGACCCCTGGTGAGGAAACTGAGCAATGTGGGGCCAAGCAGAAGTTTGGCTTCAGTGCCAGCTTAATTTGACAGTGAGGTATCTAAGAGGAGAGTAGCTCCCTACACAGAAGGCAGGATTGTTTTCTTCCTCCCACACAGAGGGAACCTCGCATGTGATAGGAGTCCAATCATTTTAGACAAGGCTTAAATGTGAGCAACGGGGAAAGGGTGTGTACAGCTTAAGGAGGAAAACAGTAGAGGAAGCACACACTAATTCTCAAGAAAACGTGACAAAACCAGGAATAACACTTCCACCTCAAAAGTGTAAAACGAATTATTAATATACAGGAACACATAGCAATAATATCACCTTACATTTGTATAGTCCTTTAAAGTTCACAAATTTCTCTTTCATCCATACCGGAATGTGACCCTTGTCTCAACTCTATTGTGTTTAGAACCATTATCTTCATTACAGAAGGAGAGGGACTCTGGAAGTAAACACTTAACTGCAGGTCACTCAGCTGGTAAAGAAGCTCAAAGAAGCTAATCTTCACAAAGTGATAAACAGAGATTACCATATTAAAATAATAAAATTTAAAAAATAATTGATAAGCTTAAGGTCATTCCCCCCCAATACTATAAAACATTACAAAACAAAATAAAAAGCAAATACCCATTTTAAGGTATTTTTTAGAAACTAAAAAGTATCCATTATGAACAAGTCATTTGGAATATTCTTTTTTAGAAACTCTTCTTATAGATCCTTAAAAGTTCAGAAAGATTTCAATGACATCACAGATAGGACAGTGTCCACAGAATGGGCAGTCTCTCTGTCCTCTCTGGAGGACTGAAATCCTCTCTTTGGTCACCTTAGTACTCCGACCACTGGAACACGATGCTCCATGTAGTTATTAAATGAAGGTAGGTGAGTGAGTGAATTCTGTCCTTACAAACAAATTCAAGAAATGTAGGCAAGAGAACAGTCATAGGAGAATTCATAATTAAATGAACAACTACACCCAGAAAGTTGTGATTCGTAGATTGACTCTAAACTGGAAGACCCATCTCAGGGCTCCAAGCTGGTTTTTTCCTCCTTAATTTTTGAATCAATAATTTGAAAACATTAAATACTTATCATTATTTTCACTTTAGCTAGCCCTACCATCTACCAACACTTATATTTTTGTGTTATGGTCAGTATTTGGTATGTATTATCTTTATATGCCTCTCATCATCTTTTTTTTCCACCTTCCCCTGATTGTCTTTTTGAAAAAATACTTAATTTCTTTTTATAAATGAGAAAACTGAGACTTTAAAAGGTTACATAGTTTTTTCAAATTTACACAACTAGTGAGTGGCAGAGCAAGGATGCAAACCTCTGTCTGACTCCAAAGCCTGTCTTTTTTTTTTTTAATTAATTTATTTATTTGAGAAAGAGAGAGAAAGAGTGTGTGTGTGAACAGGGGGAGGAGCAGAGGGAGAGGGAGACAAGCAGACTTCCTCCTGAGTGGGGAGCCCAGTGTGGGGCTCAATCCCAGGACCCTGAGATCATGACCTGAGACAAAATCAAGAGTGGGATGCTTAAGCAACTGAGCCACCCAGGCACCACTCCAAAGCCTGTCTTCTTAACCAACATGTGTGCTATGCTTATCAAGTGTACAGAGGATACAGAGCTATAAATGACCCAGAATACGTGGAAAGCTGCTATAATATTTTGAATCAGAACTGAAAATAAGTTTAACAGATACCGTAAGTACACAGATTATTTAAAGCGCTGGCAAAGAGAAGAGACATTAGATTTATTCTGCATAGACCCAGAAAGAAAACCTGGTACTGATGAGAGAAACTGCACGGATTTCTCTTTGAATTTCCTATCACTTTGCCAGGCAGTAAGGTTTCCTATCTTAAAAATGTTTACAAGGAAGCTGGCTGAAACATCAGGAATGTTCTATAAAAGGTACAGGTCAGGGCACATGAATCCTAAATGAGGAGTCCTTCTCACAGTCTCCCAATCTTGTTTATCTCAGACAACTTTTTAGAGCACTTAGCAACTACTCCAAGTTGATAATGCTTCTATTCACTTCCATTTTTTCATGGTCTGGAACCTTACTTTCCTATTTATCACATTCACCTCTAGTATTTTTTTCCTAAATACAACACCCTTCTGGAATGCTGCATCTAGTATGATGATATAAATACTTGAGAAGATTCAAAGCTAGCATTATCTGTAATTTAAAAAAAGGAAAGAAACTACAGAGCCATCCCCAAGGGCATGGTTAAATAAATTATGGAATACTACACAGGAGTAAAACAGATGGGTTAGATGGTGAAAGAGGTCTGCACAATATGTATAAAATGGTATGATTATAAAAAAAAAAACTACATATATGGAAGAACAGGCATAAGCCTGTTTACTATAGTATTAGTTTTCATATCAAAACTTATGAACCACCCAAGAGCCAATACAGAGTAGGCTAGAACAATTTTCCAAAGAACTGAAGCAAGCTAAATGCTCAACTTGCAAATGCTGGCCTAAGTATACTTTTCCTTTAAGAGCATATATTGGGAGATTTGGGGGTATTGTTTTAGTTTCTGCTTTTGCCAAAATTATCTCATGTAACTGGCTCCCTTTCTAAGGTTCATTATGCCTACCCATTTAAATTAACATATTCATGCAAATTAATGACTTTATCTTCAGGACACACTAAAAATAAGTATTTAGTGATATCATTGAATGCACATTAACTTACGTAAATTCAACTATATGTTTTGGGCAACAAAAATAAATTATTATAGATCATGGCCACCAGCTGAAAGTCAACAATGTAATCTGGTTCTTTTTTTTTTTTTTTTAAGATTATTTATTTATTTATTTATTTGAGAGAGAGAGAGAGAGAGAATGGGGGGGATGGTCAGAGGGAGAAGCAGACTCCCTGCCAAGCAGGGAGCCCGAAGCAAGCCTTGATCCCAGGACCCCAGGATCATGATCTGAGCCAAAGGCAGTGGCTTAACCAACTGAGACACCCAGGAGCCCTGTAATCTGGTTCTTAACTACATGATCTGTTCTAATATTTGAGGAAAAGCAGGTTACAACGAATATGCTCTGAGGTTGTACATCACACACAAATCTATGTATTCTGTTAATGAGCTGATAGTAGATTCTGAAGGGAAATTTCTGCTCATTAATATCTGGTGAACAGATTTTTAAACAATGCATTATAATACACTCATTTCCCACCCTACTAACAATAAATTGAGTATCGTTTGGAACTAACCCTCATTTAAGATGTAACTCCACCAAACTGCCAGAGCAAGGAGAGGATGAAACAGTGTGAAGCACTTACTGACCGAAACCCAACATGCGACACAAGGTTGACATTATGAGTCGTACACACTCCAATGTTTACAAAACCTGATGCAACAGGTGTAGCTCCAATTTTGCAGCTGAGGAGTGTGAGGCACACAGGTTACCGACAAACTCACAATGAAGGCCTTTCTTTGTATTTTCATAAAGTGTTATTTCCTTGCAACTTCCTAATGAGGTACAGATATGTGGGGTTTTTTTTAACCACTTGGACTCAGTTTCTCCATGAGCCCACAAGTCAGAAATCCCTCAACTGAAAAGACTATTCGTTTAGCTCTAATGTAAATATGACCCCTCTCCTTAACTTCTTCCCAACACAGCAGCCCTTCCCCCACACAGGTGTGCTCCTGGAAAGCCTCCCGGGACAGCGCTCCTTTGTAAGTGGTCAGTAACAAGGTGGCAATGGAAGATGTGAACGCAGCTCAGCAGGGTTCTAAAGGTGAGGCCTAATTATAGCACCCCAGGGAGGCACAGGAAAGGTCCACTTAGCCTCCTGTGCCCTCACTCTTCTGTGTACAGTCTGGAATTGAGACAAAAGAGTCAAAGGAGAAAGATGAAATGAAAGGATAGGATAGTAACAAAACCACAGACTACCTTAGTCATCAAAGACATGATTTCCAATGTTTGGAATAACGCCTTTGGCTTTACTTGAGCCAATGATAGGAGTTCACCAGGAAAAGTGACCACTTAAGAGTTAGGTCAGGGAAAATGCTTTTGTTGGCTACCACGTGCCGTCAGGTCACTAGTGGAATTAAGTGAAAACCTAACACGACTGTCTGCTCTGTATAAGCCACTTTCAAATGTTGGCATGGACTCTTTTAACAATATAATCAATGCCAACTGGAAACTGTGCCTTAAATGAAATCAAGTATTTGATGACAAAGGTGAAGGAATACATTGAAAAAGGTTGTTTGTTGTTTTGTTTTTTTTTTTTTCTCTCTCCCTTATACTGAAAGCAAATACCTTTTCATTTCCTATAGAGGTAAATGAAAGCCCTGGACAACTGACATTTAAGCTATAACCAATTAAAGAGTAATAACTGGCTCTTCAAATTGGTATTTACATATGCAAACCGAGCACTAAAATATCCTTCCGTTAAGCAGTTCAAATGGCTACTTTCACCTGACTACAAAGGCTGAATGCAGCCTTCACAATAATGATACAGAAATATCCCATCACAGCAGATGCAAAATCTATCAACATGTCACTCGTGTTCATGCCATTGTTCACACACATCTATCATCAGACAGTGATCTGCCTCATGCAATGCTAGCTTAAATTTAACTCTCAGTGGGGATGCATTACAAAACAAGGTAGACACACATCTAAATGTTTGATCCCAATTTGTATTAAATAAAGCCTTTTGTATATGCTCTACATGTATTGTTCAAAAGCAAAGTCAATACTATACCTGGTTATTTCTTCTTTAAGCTTACATGGATCTTCAGCATAGAATTTAATACCAAAATACAAAGTATATGGAGGTCCAGCTAAAATAAGAAATAGAAATTAAATTTCATAAATTAATCAAAGTAGAAGTATAATATTATACAGTTATTAAAAATTATGTTCACCAAAAATATCTGTAAACTACATATTGGATAAGGGGTTAATACCCAAAATATATGAGGAACTCTTACAACTCAATAGCATAAAACAACCCAATCTAAAAATGGGCAAAGGAGGGGCACCTGGGTGGCTCAGTCGTTAAGCGTCTGCCTTCAGCTCAGGTCATGATCCCAGGGTCCTGGGATCAAGCCCTGCATCGGGCTCCCCGCTCAGCGGGAAGCCTGCTTCTCCCACTCCCCCTGCTTGTGTTCCCTCTCTCGCTGTGTCTCTCTCTGTCAAATAAATAAATAAAATCTTTAAAAAATAAAATAAAAATAAAAATGGGCAAAGGACTAGAATAGACATTTTTCCAAAGAAGACATATAAATGTCCAGTGGACACATGAAAAGATACTCAACATCACTAATCATCAGGGAAATGCAAATCAAAACCATAAGATATCACCTGATACCTATAAGAATGGCTATTAGCAATAAGACAAAAGTGTTGGTGAAGATACGGACAAAAGGGAACCCTTGTATACTGTTGCTAGGAATGTAAATTGGTTCAGTCATTATGGAAAACAGTACAGAAATCCTCAAAAAATTAAAAATAGAACTACCACATGATCCAGCAATCCCACTACTGGGTATTTATCCAAAGGAAATGAAATCAGTATCTCAAAGATGTATCTGCACTCCTGTGTTCGTTGCAACATTAATCAGAATAGCCAAGATACAGAAGCAACCCAAGTGTCCATCAGTGAACTAATGGAATGAATATATCTCACACACAATAGAATATTATTCAGCCATAAAAAAGAAGGAGATCTTCCCATTTGAAATGACACGGATGAACCTGAAGAACACTATGCAAAGTGAAATAAGCTAGACCCATAAAAAAACCATAGTGACTGATCTCACTTATATGTGGAATCTAAAATAGTCACACACATAGGTGCAGAGAGTAGGATGGTGGGTGCCAGGGGAAGTGGAAGGGGGATGAGGAGATGCTGGCCAAAGGTTACAAAGTGTCAGTCACGCAAGATGAACAAGTTCTGAGGATCTAATGTACAGCATGATGACTACAGTTAATGATACTGTATTGTATATTTGAAATTTGCTAAGAAGATAGATCTTAAATCTTCTCACTCTCCACCTACACACACACACACACTCAACTATGTAGAGGTGATAGATAAATTATTTAACTTGACAGTGGTGATCTTTTCATACTGTACACATATATTGAAACATCAAGTTCTGCATCTTTAATTTATATGATTTTTATATGTTAAAGATATCTCAATAAAGTTTTCTGTTGCTGTTTTTAAAAGATTTATTTATTTGCGAGACAGGGAGCTCATGGGGAGCGGAGGGGCAGAGGGAGAGGGAGAGAGAACCTCAAGCAGACTTCATGCTGAGTGTGGAGCCCAAAACAGGGCTTGATCTCATGAGCCCCCTGAACCGAAACCAAGAGTCTGACACTTAACCACCTGTGCCACTCAGGCACCCCCTCAATAAGGTTGTTTAAAAAATTAAACTCACTAAGAACTTCTAAAAACACAAGAAAATATAAAATTAAAAACAGGATTGAAAATTTTATAACAGCAGGACTTCAACTCTACAGGTATCTATGTATCTATGTAACCTCAGTTAAAATATTTCCACTCACATATTGTGATCCCAAGTCTCTGATAGTACGTAACTGACACAAAGTAACCCTCCTCTTTCTATTTTCATTTTTATGGAGTAAAAAAAATGACAAGTTCAGAAGTTGGGGAAAGCAAATTAAGCAGAAAAGGTCATAAAGCCATAATGCATTTTTAATACACAAACTACGTTATTATTTATTGTTCTTGTGACACACATACGCTACACGTCTGTAGAACCCCAAAGCCCTGTTCCTGGCATGCAGAAAAGTGACAGCAGGACCCTGCTCCTCTCCCTTCATCTGTGCCTCTCTGGACAAGGCATTCCTTAAGCTAGAGCATTTTGAAAAACTGAGTTTCAAAGAACTTTGTTATAACTTCTTATCATTAGAGTTGATTCCATATGTTTGATTTCTATGATTACTTAATCACCGTGTTTATATTTCCGACAAATACACCTTTAGCCCTGAACATAGATGTCAGGGAGGCACAGACTATTAAATATTTAGAAGAGCGAGGAAGTCCCCGGTCTGCTGATCCATCTCTGTCAGTCAAGCTCTGCGTTGCCGAGCAGATGGGTCCGCCTGTGCCTGCAGGCCACGGGGACTGAGATGTAGGGGCCAGGAGGAGCACAGATGCCGTGGAGACAGTGCACAAAGGGAAGAAGGCCTTGTCCAGATTCCAGAGTTGCTTTTATTCTCCACAACGTGACAGATTACACCCTACTGACCAAGCCTAACCATTTCAAATGTGTTTAGTGATGAGCATTAAGCAGAAGTTTGGAAAAATACACAATTAAGAACACTCAGTTTTGGCAAATTTCCTTAAAGGACCTTTGGCCCAAATCAGCCCTCTATTTCCCACTTGCATATAAAATGATCTGTGTTCTAAATATAATGCATCACTACCACTTGACTACATTTAATAATGTATAACAATATTTCATAAACATGTGATTTTGAACAACCACCTGGTAACAGAGAAAAGGCAGATGAATCTCCAAGGAGGTAAGCAATTTGCTTAAGGTCACGAAGTTGAGAACCAAGTTTGTTAATACCTAGAGTTCAGTACTTTCTGGCCACTATTCCACATAACCTTTCAGGGAAAAGAATTATAATACCTTCAGAGTAAGCAAATACTTTCATCTACGTCACTGTTTTATAGATCAATCTAAGGCTATGGAAATGGACATTCTGGAGCAAGGATACGTCTGATGAGATATTTTTTGGCTTCCTCTTCTAAGACTGACTATAAATAAATACCAGGTGCTGATGAAGCACATTCCTAAATTATTATCTTGAATCCATGTCTTTCAATAGAATCTACCTTAAATAAGTAAATATTGTTTCACTTTAGCAAAAAAAATACAGAAGCCAAAAACCAGAAATCCTCTAATATACCTTTTGTGAGGACGAATTTCAAGGCCTTTAATGATAGTAAGTCTTCCATGAGCTCAAGGAGAAATGAATCAAGACCCACCAATAAGAATTCTGGTGACTGGCAAATACTCCATCATTTTTACAGATATTCTTTCTGACTAATCTACTTGAGATGTGAGAGCCATTTTCCTTCATTAATTTGTATAATAATTATCAAATTATTTCATGAGATGAAATATAAAGATTATGCTATCTTTAGTTACATCATCTTCCTTCAATATTGGCATTTTATTCTTAGTGTACATCAAATTTTTGACAGGACAACATTTATTTAGGATTAAAAAGCAGTTTCATTATATAGTTTTTTTTTAAGATTTTATTTATTTATTTAACAGAGAGAGACACAGCGAGAGAAGGAACACAAGCAGGGGGGTTGGGAGAGGGAGAAGCAGGCTTCTCGCCAAGCAGGGAGCCCGATGCGGGGCTTGAACCCAAGACCCTGGGATCATGCCCTGAGCCAAAGGCAGACACTTAACGACTGAGCCACCCAGGTGCCCCAGATTATAGATATTTAAATAGAATATTTCATACCACATAAAGAAATAAATATTTCAAATGTGCTTAGGACCACTAATAATGCACCTTAAATAAAATAATTTATATTTTTCTTCATCACTTAGTAGAAATCTCAACTTTTTAAATAAAAATCCTGTGAGTTTGTTTTAAAATAATCATTCCCGACATTTTTCTAACTTTTATACTGGTATTTTTTTAACTACTTTGTTCAAATGGATAAGACAGACTTACTGTATTTATTACTATACCTGAATTTTTGGGAAAAGTACAAATTTCTAGATCCTGAGGGATGAGACGTTTTAAATTGGAACTCCCACCATTTATGTGTAGATACCTCACAGAAGTTACCTCCATTCATACCTAATTCCATGTATCCTCATCCCTCCCCCCTTGGCCAGTAGGCAGTTTGCTTACTCAGGAAGAGTACTAGAAATACAGAAGTACTAAAAGTCAGAAGACCAGGACTCTGGTCATCCCTCTGCTACCAACTAACTTCCCACCCAGCACAAGTCGTGAACCCCTTATGAATTAGGACTTACTCCTGTGTAGGCCGAGTAGGCAGAACTTGGTGATATCAAAGGTATATTTTTTGAGGGTTCTTTCTCACCCCCACAGGCTGGCCACAAGCCCGTTTCTTTTTTTTTGTTTTGTTTTGTTTTTTGTTTTGTTTTTGTTTTTTTTTCACAAGCCCGTTTCTGAAACTTGTCACCCAGTCTTATCCAGAAGGCTGGCCCCTTAGCAGCTATGTTTATATAACCTTGAAGAAGCCAAGACATAGCTGAATAGACTGAGGTGAGCCACTGACTCACACTGGGCTGGTCAGATGCATCCTCTGCATCCTCTGTAGAACGGGGGCCTCACGTTCAGAGACTGCCAGTCAACCTCTGCTTGTGGCTAGAGGTTTCCCCACAGACATGGATAAACAGAGAGAAACACAAATGATGCTGACATTCAGAGAAACAGTACTTGCTGAGTTCCTGATAGTTTTGCAGTTCCTAGTTTCCAGGTGCTTTCTGAGGCACAGCTACATTCCTGCCCGTGAGGTTTGTAAAGCAACCAATTTTACCACAGGGAATAAGCCAATAAACATGTGAAGTACAGAGTCAGAATGGGGGTTAAAATGGCCCAAAGAATCTACTACATTTTACTAGAAATAATTTTCACAGTAAAGTAAAATGGCTTAATGAGTACAGAGTTTCACTTTGGGATGATGAAAAAATTTTGGAGATAGTGGTAACGGTTGCACAATGAATGTATTTAATGCCACTCAAAAATGGTTAACATGGTACATCTTGTGTTATATATTTTTATCATATTTTTAAAAGATAATTTAAAAAAATTACTCTGTTGCATACTTAAGGATTGCAGGCATGTGCATGCATGCATATACTTCTATAAGTGAAAACCTGGGTTATAGAAATTGAAGTTATAGAATATAACCTTAATTATACTCTCAGTTACCTAATAAGATTCATATTTGTAAAACCAAAAATAGATGGGTCCTTTCTGAAGCCACAGAAATCTTTTAGGACACAAGGGCACTCCTTATTACTGACCCAGCAAATAATAGTGTAAATGACAAAACCACTCCTTAATCCAAGAAACTCAAACTCTTTAGAAGGTCAGATGTCTACCTTTTTTTCAAACCAATGCCTCTCTGCCTTTTCTTTTTAAGGTAAAATTTTAAAGACAGGAAATTTTTTAAAATCACTGACAAGTCAAAGGCAGGTATACCCTAAGCAAATTCAGTATTAAGATCTACCACTTAGAGTCTTTATTAACTAAAATTTAATCAGTTTAGAGGAAGAGTCTGGCAATGCACACAACACCCATATCCATATTCTGGTACTTGAGTACCATTCAAATCAATGCCTCTCTGCCTTTTCTTTTAAGGTAAAATTTTAAAGACAAGAAATTTTTTAAAATCACTGACAAGTCAAAGGTAGGCATACCCCAAGCAAAACTTAATATTAAGATCCACCACTTAGAGTCTTTATTAACTAAAATTTAATCAGAGTTTAGAGGAAAAGTCTGGCAATGCACACAACACCCATTTCCATATTCTTGGTACTTGAGTATCAGTACCCATTTCCATATTCTGGTACTTTAGTACTCATCCCTGTAGTACTAAAGCATATTTCTGCACCCAACTAATCATGGACATTATATTATTTTCAAGGCACCCCGTAACAAAATTAACATTAAATACCTACTGTTGATCAGTTCTTTGTGTTCAGCAAGGGTTTTTGCAGGATCCAGCCAATACTGTGAGAAGAAAAAAAAAAAAGGGTAAATTATAGAAGTTAGTTGTTTTTCACTGACCTTCACTTTAAGAATATTTGCAAAGTGTTATTTTAAATGACATTTAAATAATAAATATTTAACTTATCACACATATACAGAAAATATATGTAAGAGCTTTCTGTAGCTAGAACACTAGAAGAAAAATGATGTTGATATTCAAAAGCAGAGAACAGCAACAGTTGTTGTAGGTACTTGGTGAAGTTCTCATACTGATTGTAAGGTCAGTAATATCAAGATGCTGATGAGCAAGAAAATGATGGCTACATAGAACGTTCCCCACATCTCTTTCCAAAGTTCCCATCACAAGTGCCCTACAGTCATTTCTCCTCCTCCAACGTCCTCACCCTCTTCACTTCCTATCCTATACCTTATAGGTAGCACTGCTAGACATTTGGAAGAAAGCATATTAAATCAAATCCTCATTAAGTATCCAGGAAAGGCAACTCGGCGCAGTGGCTGAGGGTCAGAGTCCCAGAGCAGACCCAGCGGGATTCAGTCCTGGCTCTCCCCTCATCATCACCATAGAACTTGGAACAAGTTTCTGGACTTCTCCAAACCTTCCTCATAGGCTTACTGTGCGGATTAATACATTAATTCCTAAAAAGTCTTTAGAATAGTTCCCGATTCATACTACATATGCAGCACCATGCTAGTGATCATTATTATTAAAGTCTGAGGGTCATTCTTATTAAACATCTTTAGCCAATCAAAGGTACTTGCTTATGAATTCGTTAATCTCTAAGGAACAGAACTTCAGACAGTAATGGGAGAATTTTTGGTCCTGGGGAGATATCTTCCTTTACATCTTACCTTTGTGAAATAAAATCTCACACACACACACACACACACACACACACACACACACACAAGGAACAATAATCCTTCAGCCTTGTTCCTCCATCTGGGAGAAACAAGGAAGCACAGAGGGGGAGCATCGGGGATTCCACTGAAGTGCACAGGGATTCCAGTGCCTTGTGGGTCAAAGAGATCCCTGGAGATCCCAAGGGCCAAACTTACCAGTTTCCATTTCCACATATTCCTAAATGAAGAAGGGGCAATTCTCATATAGGGAGTAGGATCTGGCCCACCTTAAGCCACTTTATTCCCAGCACCCTTGTGTTTGCTATGGTGAAAACATTCACACTCCCCTGACACCTCTGGGTCAGGAATCAAAGGTCGAGGAAGAGTCCAAGAGAATCTTTCTCCCCAGTTCCCCTTTCCCTGCCCCTGCACCGAGGGCAGAAGTACTTGCTCTGTTGTATAATAACAGCAGTGAGTATACAGTGTAATTATAACACCTTACACAATCCTCTTACCTCTTATTCCTAACTATGTAACGATAATTCACACTAAATGTACATCATAGTCATATTGTAAGATTTTGTTACATTACTGAACTCTCCCTATATACATCATCTTTGCTATTTGCCACTCATAGAGCAATTTCCATTTCTCAGCTTTTTAAAAAGGTAAAGTATCCAATATATATAAATGTAGCAACTTATAATGTAATGTTCATTATTCTGGTTCTTACCATTTCTCATTTTTTAAAGGTGCAGAATCACTCACTTTTAAAATAAAGGTATTTGAGGGGCACCTGGGTGGCTCAGTGGGTTAAGCAACTGCCTTTGGCTCAGGTCATGATCCCAGAGTCCTGGGATCGAGCCCCACATCCAGCTCCCTGCTCGGCGGGGAGCCTGGTTCTCCCTATCCCTCTGCCTGTCTCTCTGCCTACTTGTGCTCTCTCTCTGTCAAATAAATAAATAAAATCTTTAAAAAATAAATAAATAAAATAAATAAAATAAATGTATTTGAAGCAGAGGCTGTAATCTGTGAAGTGCTTTCAGAGCCCAGTGATTAAAGATGTGGTTTTGGTGTGAAAATAATGGACCCTAGGGGGACCCCTGGGTGGTTCAGTCGGTTAAGCATCTGCCTTTGGCTCAGGTCATGATCCCAGGGTCCTGGGATCAAGTCCCACATCAGGCTCCTTGTTCATCTGCTCATCGGGGAGCCTGCTTCTCCCTCTGCCTGCCACTCCCCCTGCTTGTGCTCTCTGACAAATAAATAAATAAAATCTTAAAAAATAAGTAAAAAAATAATAATAATGGGTCCTAGTGAAACACTAACTCATCCAAATAGAGTAAAATCAATCCAAATGTTAAGCTGTGTGCTGGACACAGAACAGACCCTTTCCCTCTAAGTATATAAAGCAATGGATGCTTCCTATGACATGGAAAACAGGTAGATGGAATGTGTCTTGCCATTTATGTTCAGTAAAAAGGTCTGACTATTCCTGGATTTTTCCGAAAAGGATAAAACCAAGGAAAACACACACAAATAACCATAAACCCTTGTTTAGATTATAGATTATATAGTTTAGATTATATAGATTATAATAAGCTATATAATTTTAAAATAAATCTCTTTCCTTGAGAGCAATCAGATTTGTGCAGTGAAAAAGTGTAGTAAAGATTCTGAGACGAATTAGAAATTACAATTCTGCGGCCAAAAAGTGAGTCAGGACAGTCAAAGGCTGTTCAATCAGCTCAGTACACATTAGATCTGCTAGGTGTCAATCCAGCACTCGCCGCGCACAAATCTCATTTGATCCAGATGGAAGCCAGGGGTTACAGAGATCAGACAATGATAAATGCCCCGGAACATAAATAATAAACATGAGCCACCAGGTTTCATAAGCTAACACCTTAAAATGTAAAACCTACTTACCCTCAACCAAGGGAAAGAAAGAAACTTGGAACCAAGCAGCCATACTATGATGGCTCTTGTCACTGCTCGTTATCAACAAGCAATCAAACACAGCACATGTGTGGTCACCACGAAGCACAGCAGGCGGCTACCCCACAACCAAAAGGTAAAAAAGGCACAAGAATTTGCCAGTGAACACAATACCCCAGGTTTTTTTTAAATTATTTATTATTTATTTATTTGAGAGAGAGAGAGCACGAGGGGAGGGGCAGATGGAGAAGCAGGCTCTCCACTGAGCAGGGAGCCTGATGTGGGACTCAATCCCAGGCCTAACCCAGGCCCCTGGGATCATGATCTGAGCCAAAGGCAGATGCTTAACTGACTGAGCCACCCAGGCGTCCCAACACAATACCCCAGTTTTAAGGCCTACATCCAAAATGTATCTAGGCTCTAAACCTGGGGTATAATTCATTCAACATTTATGGAATACCCAATGTACAGGTTCTTTCTATATTGGGTCAGACCCTGTCCTGGGGCATGCGGGGAAACCAAGACCCAGCCCTGAGGCACTCACAGCCTAGCAGGGGACACAGACATAGAATTACAACACAATATGCTAAATGAGAGAATAGTGTGTATGAGATGAATACGTATGAGATAATAAAATAATGGACTAAAAACATTAGCTCTGCAGGGTGAGTGTAGGAAGGCATATGGCTGAAAAGAAAAACTTTGAACAGCGGTTCATGACTTAAAAACTACTCCAAAATATAGAAACAGAGAATAGAGCCTTAAATTCTTATAAAGATGATGTCTATCAACTCAACAGCTCATAAAGCAAATGCATTTTTTAAATTTAAGAGCATTTTTAAGTGACAACACAGAACGTAATACTCCAAGTCCTTTGTAGCTGAGTACTACATTGGAATCTGCGCTGCCCAATAGCTAACAGACATCAGCTAAGAAATCATGTTCATAGAGGACTTCCAGAAAGAGAAAAGGTCCATTCAGTCTTTTCATCTGCCCTGGATGGGGCGAGAGGGAGCTGTGGAGAGCACAGCCCCGCCCATTGTGGTGCCGGGCTACAGGATGGCTTTTCTGAATTGCACTTTAGTATGAAGCCATCTTGTCTACCTCAGTGGTTACAAGAGAAACAGCCTCATCTCTCGCATTCTCTCTCAACATTTAAGCAGTTCATTCTCTAGAAAAGTCTCTCAATCACTTTTCCCCGTACCTTCCCCGACCCTGCTATTTCAAATTTATATCCTATAATTTGTATAACCGCACAAGCTGGATTAGATCCTTCTTTGTAAGATGATAACAATTAGCCAAAATGGAGCCCACTCTCTCTTCCTGATTTCTACAGGCAGCTTCCTAACACAGGAGAATGTGAACAGACTGCAACCCAACCCCCAATCACTAAGGAATCAAGACAATAGCCCTCCTTGGCCCTGGCCCTTTGCCAGGGTGCAAGAGGCAAGCAGTTAGGTGTCCTTACCTCTTCAGTCTTGTCAATCTTAATAACAGCACTTATGGAACCTGGGAAGAACTGACAGACAGACACAAGTTCCTTCTCACCCCCTGACAGTCTTGGCTAAATGCCCTGAGCGTCTTTCAGCCACCTTGGCTGATAATGTCTCAATTTCATCAATTTCATCAATTTACTAGGTAACGGGCTCGGAATTACATTTTAAAACTCTAACACTGTCCAGTAAATCAATATCCTAACCTTCAAAAGATATATATTAAATTCACAGTGCAACCTTTCAATTGACAATTGTTGTTTTGGAGTGTCCTAGAGTTCTAACCGTACAATAAGCCTTACAAATTTTTAGAGAAAGCAAGGACAGCGTAAAGTAATAGAAGCTTTGCTGCATCTTATTTCACACTGGCTGTAATGTTGATTCTCCTTTGGAGAATTTAAGAATGCTACAGTGATACTTAATAATATTTCCTGGAGATCAGAAAAAGGCTTTAAAAGCACACATAGTTTTTGTCAGTATAAAAAAAGCCATCTCTTGATCTAAGGGAGTAGTATAAAAAGAGTTGACCATCCTGAGGGGACAACAGAACCACAAAGATCTAAAAAAAAAAAAATGACACTACAGTTCATTCCTAGGGAGTTATAGGACTCAACATAATTTGCACATATGTTCCAAGAAATCCAGGACTGCGGTGATAGTTATTTGTGCTTTCTCCAATGCCTCTGTAGACAGACCCTGTGACCTCTAAGCAACATTAACAGGACATGGTTT